GCTGCTGCTGCTGCTGTTGCTGCTGCTGCTGCTGTCTGCACCAATTGCTGGTGCTGCTGAGGCTTCGGGGACAAGAGCAGCAGCAGCAGCAGCAGGTGAGGCAGCAGCAGCTGCTGCTGCTTCTGTGCTTCTTCTAAGCAGCTCCTCCATCTCTGTGTAACCTGTAGCGATGGGCTTCTGCTGCTGCTGCAGCAGCTGCTGCTGTTGCGCCGGTCTCTGCTGCTGCAGGTTGCTGCTGCTGCTGCAGTGCTGCTGCGGCTGCTGCTGTAGGCCCAGTCGCAGCTAAGACGTGCGGGGTCGAGACGAAGTGCTGCTGCTGCTGCTGCTGCTGCTGTTGCTGCTGTGTGGTTACTGTGGTGGGGTTGCAGCAGCAGCAGCAACTGCTGCTGCCGCTGCTGCAGCTTTCTCTGATTGTACGCTCAGTGCCTGTCCTCCACTTTAAAATAAATCGAGGACTTGCCTCGCTGCTGCTGCTGCTGCAGGGGCTGCTGCTGCTGCTGCTGCTGCTGCGCCACAGACACAGGGGCCCCCGCGGGGCCCCCTCAGCTCGAAGCGCCTCGAGCCAATGAGGCCCTCTGGAGGACCCTAAAGTGTTTTTCTGAGTTAAATATTTTAATTATTTATTTATTTTTATTTTTAAATCAAATTAAATCCATTTAAACCCTCCCAATTGCTGCTTTGGGGCCCCCAGGGGCCCCCCGGGGCCCCAGGGGTTGTTGATCTGTGCGGCCCGAGGTGTACACGCATCCCCCAAACCCTAAACCCTAAACCCTAAACCCTACATCTTCAAACCCTAAACCCTCGCTGTGGCTCTGTCCAAACCTTAGCCACTGCCGCAGCACACCTAAAGCTGCGCCCGTTGCACCTCAACCCTTGCTGCTAAACCCTAAACCCTAAACCCTAAACCCCAAACCCTCGGTTTTCGTGTCTGTAAGCATCCATAAGCAACTCCCAGTAGAGCCCTTGTTGTTAAGGGGGCCCCTAGGGGCCCCCAAGGGGCCCCCAGGGACCCCTGGGGGGCCCCGGAGGGGCCCCAATTAGTGGTTGGGCGAGACCCCATATAACAGCCATAGTTGCTTTTGCTGCTGCTGCTGCTGCTGCTGTTATTGGGGCAGCTGCTGCTCCAGCAGCTGCTGCTGCTACTTGGTTAGTTGCTGCACTTTGTTCCCTCCCAGTTGTTCGGCTGCAGCTTCTGCTGCTGATGCACCACTTGCTGCTGCTGCTGCCGCATCAGCTGCTGCTGCTGTAGGTGCTTCTACCCCGTCTGCTGCTGCTGCTGCTGCTGCTTGTATCTGTAGAGCAAGTTAAGGTCCCTCACAGCAGCAGCAAGTGACTGCAGCAAAGCTACGAAGTCCTGCAGCAGCAGCTGATAATCTGCTGCGCTGCAGATTGCATCCAGCAGCACTTCTGTTGCTGCTGCTTCCAGCCAGCCGCCCCCAAGGGTAGTCTCGCAAAGCTCAAACAGTGCTGCAGCAGCAGCAGCAGCAGCAGCAGAGGAGCGGCGCATGGGAGTTTTTAAAGGCAGCAGCAGCAACAGCAGCAGCAGCAGCGACAGCAGCAGCAGCACCAAACGCGTTGTACGCAAACGATCTGGGGCTTACGCCACAACAGCAAGAGCAGCAGCTGCAGCTGCAGCTGCAGCAGCAGCTGCAGCAGCAGCTGCAGCAGCAGCAGCAGTAGTGTACCTGCTCTCGCGTCAGGGAGGTCAACAGCGAGTTGGTCTTGCTGCTGCTGCTGCTGCTGCTGCAGCTGCTGGAAGGCTTCTGCTGCTGCTGCTGCCTCAAACTCATTTACAGACTCCACCAAAGAGACAAAAGAAGAAGCCGAAAGAGCTGTATAGACACCCCAAATGAGGCCCCACACAGCAAAGTTGCTGCTGCTGCTGCTGCTGCTGCTGCTGCTGCTGCTGCTGCTGCTGCTGCTGCTGCAG